AATTACTCTCTCTCTCTCTCTCTCTCTCTCTCTCTCTCTCTCTCTCAAATAAAATTCGCTAAAAGATCTTAGATCTCAATTTTTCAGATATGCAACAGAATGGTATTTATTCTCACCGAGGCTGAAGTCATTGCTAATTATAACTCTTTATAGAAGTTTCGTGCCGTGCAGTTTAAGTGTAGGTAAATTATTTCCGTTATCAATGTCGACTTATGCCGCGGTAAGTAGATAATTTCATATGCAATTTGTGAATAATAACTTACGCGTTTTGATATTCAATTTAAGGTGGTACGAACAGGTATGTCTTATTTTACGGCATTTCTGTCGTTGAAGGATTGATTTATCCGAATTTTCAATTGACAGTTCAGAACAATTGCCCTTGTTTTTCGAAAATAGTTTTGTATACGTTCGTATGCATTTCGCATTCTAAATATATGTATTTATCTAAAAATTTGCAAAACGTACCTGATTTCCTGGTATCACACCGCCCCAGAATGCGACATCTACAAATATCTTCGAGTGCGCTTCTCTGGCTTTAATTTTGAGATTGTTCAAAGTAGTGGTGGGCGGAATAGAATTCCTATAAGATAAAATAGATATGCACGTCCGAAGGTAATTTCGCCGTTCAGACAATCGTTAAAGGGGAAGAACGTGGATTATTATTACAAAGGCATATCCGCGATCGTGGTGACACCGCCAGCCGCGGCCGCTCGTGTTGCGGTGTGAAATCCTTCCCATTCGGTTCTTCCGGGCTCATTTACATGCACGTGGGAGTCTATTATTCCAGGCATTAGCACTAACGAGCCGCAATCGTGAAATAGAATGCCGGGATATTTCTGAAACGTACGTCGATTCGCATTCGTTTCCCGTCCCGAATGATTTATACGTGGCCGAGTGATTATACTTGCCTGTGATAAATATTGTACCACGTCTTCACCGGTGTCGTATGATATTTCTTGTATTCTTTCATCTCTTACAACCAGTGTGGCCGGTCGGATGCTATTTGCAAGGACCGTTCTTCGACTTATAAAAGCGCAGATTCGCGAATCCCTTTGAAATTGCATCTTTAAGCGAGCACCGTTGAATTACAACTGCGGTCGCGACGCGTTATTACTGTACTCTATAAATAGTTTGAGGATTGAATGCCTTATCAAAAGATGTCTAGATATACGAGAGGCGTACATAAAAGTGGGCATATATAATGCCTTACAGAGACCTTATATTATGAATAATATGGCGATATAGTTGAGCGATATGTATTAAGATGTATAGAAAATTACAAAAATATATTGTTTTTTTTTTCGAGTATTCAAAACCGGATTGGATTTGCGTTTATTGAAATTACAACTCGAGCTAGAAGGTATAGAGAAATAAAAAAATATTGGCAATTTTAAAACAAGATGAAGCACGTTCTTTCCAATTCCATTGTTGTGTTATTCTCATACACTCGATTATTTGTCGTGTCACGCGACATCAGCGTGCAAATGTCACTTGGAAGAGACGCGCAAAAAATTACAGTTTACGAAAAATATAGTATCTGGTCATCGGAACATAAATAATTGGTCTGTGCTTCGACGATAAGTGACATCCCGTAATTTTACAAGTTCTGCGATCGTTCCAACTTGTCCTCAGATCGATTGATGTGCACGCGCTGCGCTCCCTCATTTCCATCGTAGTCGTTCTTAAGCAGGCAAACTGCAAGCAAGTGAATTATGCTAGTAAATATACTTCGAGAGTACAATATCAATAAAATATTTTTGTCATGCTTGGGACTCTGGCCCTTCCAATATAAATTGGCGAGACGTATGTTACCACTATTCTGCTTTATACTTGAAATAAGTTACTTGCCATTCGAGGTAATACGATCGACAATATATTTTAATTTAATTAAAATCCTTAAAAGCGCTATATCACGCTAAAAGATATTACTTTTTTTCTTTATTAATATATTGTAATATAATTTATCCGTAGATATTAACGTTGTATAAACACAGACACAATGGGCAAATAATTTTTGACAGTTTATATCAGATGGTTGTAACGATAGCTTTTCTCGTAAAGTTATTAAATCAGCTTTGGTATCGCGACAAGGTAAGAAACATTTAAAACATCAACGCGAATTATAAATTTTTGTATTAATTTTTATTTAAATAAATTTCTTATACACGTATATATTCATTCGTTTTGATATGTGTTTATTACTTTATTAGTTTCGTCGTTTATACGAAATCATGGAAAACCATTGGAATATATTTACGAACGATTTGGAAGTTCGAATTTTGAAAACTTATTCTCATATATCGCAAAAATTTGTAGTACTTTATTCGAGTAAGTAAGCTAAGAAAGACGAAGATTACATAATAATAATAATAATAATAATACTAAAAATATATTAAATAATACTAAGAAATACTAAATAATATAAAAATTGTACTTTGCATGTATAAGGATATTATATGAAATAATATATATTTCAAATTTATAGTATTGATATATGTCATGATGTCAATGTTTATAACAATACCCTCGATAGGACCAATGCTTCTTGATATCGTATTACCTCTTAATAAATCACGTCCGCGACATATCGCAATATACAGTGAATACGGAGTAGATCAAGATAAGTATTTTACATCAATCTTCCTGTACACCTCTATTATGATCATAGTGGGTATGACCATTATGGTAGCTGTTGATACCATGCACATAACGTGTACCGCGCATGCATGCAGTTTATTTGAACTTATTGGGTAAATACGGCTCAAGATTTCTCTACGAATTTCTGTAAAGTTGAAGTAAAGTCTACCTTTTTTTAAAATTTAAAGAAAATACATAGAATGCTATTTTAAGCTCGAAGAATTCTGTGTCTTACTTTCTTTAGAGTTCATATAATCGATTTTAGGAAAAGTTTCACCGATTAAAATATTATAAAGATATAGAGAGAGAGGGGGCTATTTTCATAATCAGAATTTTATTTATTTTTTCAAAATTAAAAAAAAATGCTGCCAACTTTATAGAACCGCATATAATGTTCGTGATAATTTTTTTCGTAAAATATCACGAGAATCGTATTCCAGTCAACAAGTTGAGAACATAATATCAAATGTACATATTGGCGATCGTCGTTGCAACGTCGGACGTTGCAAGAATGTGGGATATAAAATGTTTAGCGAGGAAATGATATATCGGGAGTATATCGTATGTTTAAAGAAACACCAACTTGCTTTGGAGTAAGATTTCTCTTCTCTTTGATTTTTTAAGCAATCTTTTGAAGTTGTTTTTTACAAAAAAAAAATAATATGAACATACATAATAAAAGATGTAATTAATTAAAATAATTATAGGTATGTCAATATATTGAATGATACACACAAAATTGTCGGAATTAGCTTCTCATTATTAATCGGTGCGATCTTCAGTCTGCTTGGAGTTCGAGTAAGCATTAATATTATTATACATCGTTCTTAAATATTTAACTTTTCAATAATCGGCATTAATATATTACATTTTATAATAATTTATAAAATTCGTGAAAATATAATTATATTTCAGATGGCGAATGGATACATAATATCTTTGATATATGTATTATAGATTGTCTATGTGTTAGACCAACTGGAAGAAATGATTAGATTTACATTTATAATCATGGGAGCGCTGCTGCAATTGATAATCGTGTGTTATTCTGGCCAGAAATTAATGGACGAAAGTCAGAATATATTTCATCGAGCGTAATAATTATTTTATATTCTCGTAAATTTTTGTTTTCAATATATTTAAAAATCTAGAAGAAATAAATTGAAAAAAAAATATATATATATAATAATTGAAGTAGAATTATAAATAACAAAAATAATTCTTATTCATAATATGCACAAGATATATTATATAAACGTAGAATGTCCCAGAATTCGAATATCTATGACAGGAGAAACAAGTTTTTTTTGCATTTAATAAAACTGCGTCGATTTTACTTAAAAGAATTAAATTTTGCAAATTTATGATATTAGATTTAGTTTGCATTGTTTAATGGAAAAAAAATAATTTAGAATCTGAATAAAAAATAATTTTTAAAAATATATTCTTTCAGGTATGCAGCAGAATGGTATAAGTTCTCACCAAGACTAAGATCATTGTTAATCATAATTCTTTACAGAAGTGTTGTGCCATCCAAACTGACAGCAGGTAATTTGTTTCCGTTGTCAATGACGGTCTTCGCTACAGTAAGTGTGAGAAAGTCTGTAAAACTAATTTGTTATGTGTGGAAGAAATGACTTATATATTTTTAATTATTTTAAGGTAGTACGAACGGGCGTATCTTACTTCACGGCGTTCTTATCGTTTAAAAATTAATTAAAATTATCTGCTTAACAAATCCTTCACTAATGTCTTCGATTCAAATCAATAAATTGTAGATAAAAATTTAAAAATAGTTATGTTTTACTTTGTGTAATGGACATAAAGTGTTAATTTAATTGAAAGAAGATAGCTTGCTAAAGATTTTATTTTAACAAAATCACATTTATTATTAAATATACAACTCATACAATATCGACCAATGCGACTACAATCAATATCACAGCATTTTGCAGGTAGACATTCGTAATGTCAGTCTCTTAATAATGTAACTTAATGAGGATTGCTAATAGTAGTAACATTTCTTGCAATTGATGACGCATTTTCAGACACAACTAATTAGCTTTTTAGTGTTCGTGTAGATCGATTTACACAAGAATATATTGTTTTTACATAAAAACATTGTTAAATCCCACGATGCTGTTAAGTCAAACCATATTCCAAGCTGTTAGCGTACCACATCTAACAGGACATGGCTATATGAAGCTGCGTATAATTATTATCTTTAACTAATTCTATTTGATTATTTTACTTAACATTTCTTTAACATTAGAATATAATGTTCTAGAATATCTAGATATATCTCGTTGTGTTCTGAAGAAAGAAATGAAAATGTTTCAATAGCAATATAATTTAATAATTATTTTGCAAAATTTATCTTTCTCTTCTTTCTAAACAAAATTAATTAAATATGAAAAAGACATATAAAATAAATACAGACTGCTTTTAATCTTTGAGATCTTGTTTAGAAAATTCGAATTTAATGCATATAATGCAAAATGTTCTTATTTATCAAAAAGATATTAGAAAAAGATATTATAAAAAGGTATTAGAAAAAAGATATTATAAATATTATTCGATGAAAATATATTACAGTATTTATGAAAGTATAATTATTATTTATGAAAGTATATTATTTATAATTAATTGATATCACAATTAGAGTTCAATTACGATCTATATACACAACTCTGTATACGAAACATTATTGAAAATATATTAAGTTGTTAACTGAAATGCGTGAAATATTTAGAACGCAAAATATCGATGGTTCAATTTTCTAATGTAAATTTTTTTATGATTATTTTGTAATCTTTAGATGTAAATTTTAAACTTAATAAACCCAAAAAGTTTAGAAAATTGTATAGTAATAGTAATCAATTCCTCAATAGTAATCAATTCCGTAACGTAATCTCGAAGAGTAATTCATTTTTTTAGAATATTTTAAATTATAATAATATAATTAATGACCACAATGGCAATAGTATCATTCGTCGGCGGACTTCGTTAATTTATCGAGGCAATCGTACGACTTTGATTGTGTAACGTATCTGTAACATAGAAAAACTTTTGTTAAAAAAACTTTTGTTCATATATTTTACAGCATGACAGCATTGAAAGCAGAAAGCGAACAAAGATTGTAAATAGGCTTGTCAACCATTGTTAATAGAGTTAAAGCAAAAACTAACCGTGTTAATAGCTAAATTAGTCTAAATTGCATGGCTTGCGTGACACAACCGTTTATGCGTTGGATCTCTTCGGGCGACGTGAAGTATCAAGTTCCCAGCTTTGGCACTCTTGAACATTTGTAACGCTTTGGCATGCGTCAGTCCATCCAATGAGGAGCCATTGATCGCTAAAATTTCATCTCCTACTCTCAGAGTACCTTCAACATTACAGGTAGATTGCTACAGAAATTGTTTCCCATTCGTATTATCCCATCATAATTTTTCTACATTTTTATAAATTTATTAATTTTACATTAATAAATAGAATCGTATTTATTTTTATTGCAAGAAATACGATACCTTCTTCCGCAGCTTGTCCGCTAGGCATAATATCCTTCACGAAGATACCCATACGCCCTTTATTGCTATCCACACCGCCGACAATGGAAAAGCCCAATTTCTTTGGCGCGCCCTTTTCCAGTACGATCGTCAGAAGATCGATAGATAAACTGGATCCTCGTCGAACGTTGGACGCTTCGGCACTTCGTTTCCTCACGACTTGGAACTTCTTCATACCCGTCATTTTTTGGAGACTGACAGTCGCATCGTCAACGGCGGAGGAGATTCCAGCATTCGTCGAAGATGATGCATCGTCGAAGGAAGCTGACTCGGTTCTTTTACTCTTCGGGATCCACGCGTCGGGATCGCTTCGTGTTCGCGTCAAGGCGTTTCCCCAGGTGTCGCCAATCTCCTCGCCAAAAGTTGTATTCGGTTCTCTCGCAATCTGCAGTTCGACCGTGCCGACGCAGCTCCGCAAAGCGTTTCGCGCCTCCGCCATCGACATACCGCGTATTCTACGTCCGCAGACTCGAACAATCTCGTCACCAATGCGGAACTGCTTCGACCTAGCCGCCTCGCCATTGGGATCCATCTTGGCGATCACGTAGAATGGCCTGGCTGCCTCGCGTCGTTCAACCGAAATACCGAGACCCGCCGGATGGTTCACCGTCAGCTTCATCGTTTTCAGTTCACGTCGTATTAGGATTTTATTTACGGCAGTGACGGATTTGGTAGCGGAAATATTAGGAACCGAGGACTCGCAAGTGCCGACTGTCACGGCTTTTTTCGCCACGTTTCTCGTCACGTCCAACATATCGAGTTCTAGAGTGGAACGCGATCTCTTTGGGCTGTAATATCGTAGAGGGTTGGTTATCGCATCAGAATGAATGAATTTTGAATGAATTTTGCTAGCCGGCGGACTGTCTTTGCACGGAGACGCTGCATAGTCTAAGAGGTGTAATACACTTGGACTTGAACATTTTTGACTTTTGGACTTCTTGTCCTTCAGGGAATTTTGAAATTTAGCTTTCTGAGATACGTTAATATAATTTTCCGGCGTCACGCAACGTTTCCCCTCATCGGAATTGACTTTCATTCTGGCATCATCAATGCCATGCATATCGACATCGTCACATTGCATCAGTGTGGCGTCGGAATCGTTACGTTTTATCATTTGGAGTTTCGTTAAATCCTCGAACAGACCAGGAGCTGTGGACTCTGCTCTCATTAAACTCTCTTTAGATTTTGGCAAGAGATCTGCTTCCGTTTTAGAATGAACTCTCATTAAATCCGGTTGATATTCTAAAAAATCAGCAAAGGTGTCTTCATCGCAGCTATCTGTATCGTCCTCCTCGGGCATTAACATAGTGGATTGAGTCGTGGTCGAATTGTTAAAGATAGAATCATTCGTCGCGACATCGACATCAGCGGTGTCGATCTTCTCTGAAACACACGTTTCGGATGATTCGATTACCGCGCGTGCATTTATTTTCCGCGACGTACCGCCGAATCTCGATAAGTCGATACCGCGATAGTCGTCCGATGTTACTGAGAAACTGCGCGGCTTCAACAAAGAAGGCACCACCGATTTTTCACTGTCCGGTGAATCCGCGCCGGCTCGCGTACTATCGGAATCGTAGCCACTTTCATCGCAACCTATGCGCAAATTGCTCAGTAGATCTTCTAGACCGGTCAGCGAGCCGGAAGATAATCCTTGGGGAAACAGATTTCCTTTAGTTTCCTTGATATTCGCATTACTGGTGGATTGGCGATCAGGCATTCGTATCGAAGTGCCATTTTTCGTTTCGCCCAAAGTTCTCGAATTCGCGTTCGTTCCAACGTTCTCCGGTGTTGCTCTTGTCAACGCGTCACTCTGACGCGCTTTCGTCTCGTGATTCTTAAGTATGTAATCCAAGACCCGTTGTTGCTCTTGAAGATCCTGTATGCTACGATTCAGCTGTAATTTCTTTTGACGGAGAAACATTTCCCGATTGATCCCAGAAAATTCGTGATCGTCGAAATTCTCGGAGCAGATATCTCGAAACGGGATCTTCCTGATCGCTCCTTCGCTCAGAGTTTTCCCCATTGGGCAATGGCTGACGACTGTATCCTCCTCCTGTATCGTCGCGCTTCTCGTAGAACTCTTGCCGTTAAGAGAATGATCGCCGCTAGTCCTAAAGAGGTTTCTCAACGATTCTACCCTGGGAATCCTTTTTGGCCTGAGAAGTTCGCTATTACCCTGAAAATGTTAATTATTCAGGATAACGTCTCTCGGAAAGCTTTATTCATCGCATCTTAGCTGAAGCTAACATGCAAGCTAATGCATGTTAAAGTACTGTTATGTAACGTCGACATTACGTTTTCTTTCTCGTTTGGGGTTTCATCGTAGCCGCTTTTCCGATGTGGGCTCCACCGTCGCCGCCGTCGCGGCACTGAAAGCAATTCGGAGCTATCCGATCTCTTCATTTGATCCCATCGTCGACCCATCTTTCGTCCCCACGTTGAGATTCCTTTCGAGTGGGGGGGGGGAGGGGGGGGCAAAGGTGCAATCAATTTTAAAATCATCGAATTTACATCAAAATTAAGCTTAATTTTATTATGACGAGTGGTATGATAAAAATTCGGATACCGTATGAATTGTAACGCACACAAATGTTGCTACTTTAATATATTCCTACCTTTACGAATTAGAACATTAGAGGAGTCCGTCGATTCCTGTTGCACGTCGGCGTCTTCTTTGACTGGAAGAGAACCTTCCAATCGATCATCCGTCCTCGACTTCTCCGATTTCTGGGACGCATTACTCTCGGCATTATTCGTAGCCGCAACGTCTTGAGATATAGGTACAGCCGAAACGAGCTGCGGGCTCGTGTCGGCTATATAACGTTTGAATAGACGCATCGTGAAAGAGGTGTGTGCTGCAAGTAAAATTACCTACTAACTAATAAGATAAATCATAGCGTATATGATGCGGCATTCAAAGAGGTGGAGATGTAAGTAATAGATTTCACACACTTAATAATTACGTATTACCAACAACCGTATGACTACAATTTTTTATTTTTCCTTTCAGCGTAGTATCCCATTCATCATAAATGCTCATGTAATTCTGAAAATTACACCGCGAGAGCGAGAGAAACGCGTCTTAAATTTAAAAGTCCTACGGTATCGACTACGGTAATTTCTACGGAACACCCTGTACGTAGACCAGTAAGAAAAGCAAAGAAAGGAGAGAAACGTGGAAGGGAAAGGTGGAGGCTTTGCGAGACAGCCTCGGACTTCCCTGAAAGGTTTGTCGTCGGGTGACGTCAGCCCTCGTCCACAAAACGGTCGCCATCGCATATGTACATCTGTCGCTCGCCCATATGTGTGTGTTCCGCGTTTTTGAATAAAAAAGGAGCAGAATGAACCGCGAGAAGAGCATCGCAGGTAGGTAATCGGACAACGAACCCGGTTTATGCGGTTCTCTTCCTCCTATTCCCTATTTTTCTTTTTCCTTTTTTCACGTCGCGTTTGCACCGCATCTCCTCTTCTACGCGATTTGTTCCATAAAGAATTGTCTTTCACGTCTATTAGACGGATATAATTACATTTGCATATTTTAATACTGCTCAGTGGGAAACCAGTTTTTATAAAAAAAAAATAATGAATAAAAATATCGATGACGACGGTGATACAATCTTGAATGTGCGATAAAAGTTTCAAGATATATTGTCCTATTATTATCGCGCTATCGTTCAAGAGAGGATGCATCTGCGTGAAATTAAAGCTTAAGCTTAAGAAAGTATTAGTTGAGAGAATATCTGGAGGAGACTAAGCTAACGGTCGATATCTTCGGTCGCGATCTACGCGATTGCAAGTTCGATGAGTACGGATCTACTTGTTTCGCAATGAACAAAACTCTTTGTCCTAAATAACTGAAATAAATATGTTTGTATCTATATTTACAAAAATGTTGTAAAAGTGTATGACAGTATTGCTTTTCGGCTCGTTTGTAAAAGTATAAATTAAGTTTCCTATTATCAAGTTACGCATATAAATAGAATCCTCCTATCGATTCTATTATAGATAATTTTCGCAAAAAAGGAACAACAATTTTATATTTCCATTCATAATTTTATTTACATGAAAGTATTACTTTGGACTGTTATCGAGTAACAGTGAGTCAAAACGTGCTGTTAGCATAGCGGAGTCAGAGCGAAGTCCTAATTTGGACTTGGATTACAACACAGCCTCTTTATTTTCCGATGAACTCGATGCCACCAAATACGGAACGTAAAATTAACACCCACGTAAATACTATCTTTCGCAAGATAAGCCTTTTATTTCTAACGAAAGACTGGCAAATTACAAAAATATGCTTTCAAGACAGAGAGCCCTGCTGGCGGTTCCGCAGCTCGTCGTAGCTCGAAAATTTATGTTATTCGCTTAAATACGGGATTTATAAGGACAGTTATGTGCAAACGTATAAACAGAAATAGAAAGAGAGATGCGGGTGTCTGATACGCTCTTTGCAGGGCTCGCGCTTTCACGTCTGCACTGTTAGGCACACCTGACTCTCAGCCAGCCATGGGAACCTGCCGTGCCTTTCGGGAAATGGCTGCGTGTGCCAGGGAGCAGATGTCCATTGTCCTTGCAAACGAGGGCCAATAGCCACCCATCACCCTCATCATTTCATCGATTATACGTGTGGCTCTACGTAATAACAAAAGACCGGTAATTATAACTTCTTTTTTTATACACGACTAGAAATCCGGTCTCGAAATCCGGTCTCTTCAATATTCGCTCGAGCAACTAAGCTTTCGGCACTGAAAGAGTACAAGTTCAATCCGACGTATCGGTCGGAGGAATGAAATCGGTGTCACGCACCGACGATGTAAAATGCGGTAAATATCTCGGTCGTCCGACAGATATCTTTCTCTCTTTTCTCTCCTCTCCCTAAAATTCCCGTCTCTCTCCCATATTTTTTTACTCTTCATCGAACGGCGTCTCGTAGAAAGTAAAACTATCGGGCCCCGAGGCCGAGTGTGTCCTCGAACACACCAGTCTGGCACACATTCGCTATATATGAATAAAGCAAACACATCTTTTTTCCGAACAGCGAACAGTAGATTTAATGAAAAAAGTTGCGAGTCGATCGATAATCATGTACATCAAAAAGATTCAGACCAAAATTATTTCATCAGAAACAAATGCATTTACAAATACAACTATATACTTTTACTGACATTTCCTTTGTACTGAATTTTTATCCATTTTTAAAAATATTATTTAAAATACAAATGAGCGAGATAAAGTTCAAAAAGCCGTATATATAAACTTCAATTTCTCCTCGCGATGCATGGAAATGATGAGGTACGGTTCGATATAAATACACGTGTAATCACGAATACCGTACGGAGGGTAAAAATATATGCACGCCTGCGCGCCCTTGTGTTTTTTCGTTATGAGGGGTGGAAGGACCCTTCCCAATTAAAATTTTATAAAAAGGGTACATTAATACGTACGTTACATAAAGCGTCTTACGTAATTTCTAAATACGCCCCGTGCATCGATCGCGCATGTAGGTACTCTTTCGAATACTTATATACTCTTATTTAATATCACATTTCTCGGCTGTCCGTCAAAGTGTTAAAAGGGGCGTGTTTAATCCCGCGGAATAAAGCAGGCATACTGCATAACTGTAATGCATCTCGCGCATCGCTTACGATCTCATACCGTTATCTTGAAATAGGTGAGTTCGCGGTGCATGCATAGCACACTGCGTACATCTGACAGTTAATTACGTTGTTTGTATTAACATTGTCGATACGATCGAGCGAAATGGGTTACGCGTGACTTGCGACATTAAAGCTCGCCGCAAAATGATGCGGCGTTACGTAAAAAAAAAAAAAAAAAAAAAAGAAGACGAAAGAAGAATACGATTTTGCGATAGATACCTTACCACATTTATCATACGCGAATTGGAATGTTATCGCATCGAGGTGCGTTATATGTTTTATTTACGATGCGATGCTCGTATCGATTTGCGGAATATTTATCATCTGAACGTACCGTTTGGAGATATGCAATGCGCAATGCGCAGAACATAGCGTACAACACATTAGCAATGAGATTTACTTCGTATATGCACTTCGCGCATGTACTCGATATACCGTGGACATCGCCGCTTCTTGGTCACGGATCATTGCCACAGTGAAAGGGTTAACGTTATCCAAGTGCTCGTTCAAGTACTATGAGAAAAGTGTAATGATATGTCGTTAGTAATGCCTAGGATGACCTGGAAAACCTTGACCTTCGTCAATAATATGATATTAACGATAAATAATAATTTAGATAAAATTGCTCACGTTTTTATTACATTTAACGATGAAGACTAGATACTCGTATACTTAGATTTATGTATCGCGGCCATTGTAGTAATATCATGCAGGTTTTTTGTTTTATAATAAAGAAATCTATTTTGTAATCCGTTTGTAAAAAATTTGTAATTAAAGAATTAATGGCTATTATACAAGATTGCAAATTTTAATTTATTCTATGTTTCAAGAATTGAATTAAAGACGAACGTTAGATGGTCGCTAAAATGCTTCAGCATGTTCCGTTACGCAACAGTAAGAACTGCGGTACTCCAAATTTTTGCATCTCCTTAGCTTAGCGAGTACGATTTGTAGACAAGATCATCATAAAAATGACAGAAAATTTTTATGCTGCTCTAAAATAAAAGTATGATATTTTAAAATATGGCTATAATTATTTAACACAGCCAATTACATTCACTCCGATAAATAATATTTAGCTGAATTTTACTCTTAGATGAACTGATGTTTGTTTTTCACGACTAAGACCCAGCAAATTGTATCGTAGGGATAATTTAGTACTGTAGATCTATCAACAGCAGGAATCTCCAGTCAAAAGTCAACAATCTCCGGTAGCATTGTAGATATATGTGACTCTTATGAATACGTACAGTATATGCAAGATTAATGTGTTGGAATTCTAAATTATGCGGAACTGTCTGTGTATACGACGTTTGTGTACGTCAATGTCCTCTAAAGAAGCATGTGTTGATATCTAGCAGGCATTAAGCACTGGACTGGATGTAAAGCAGCTCTCCGATGGAGAGCAGACGAAGCGCTCTGATATCGTAGTTTCATCAATCAATCCTCCGAATTATATTCTGTATAATTAGACAACTTTAAAAATTATCCCCGATTGTGATATATATAAAAAATATTATATTTCATATTTTATCATTAAATGTCTAAATTACAATATTTCTGTATAATTAGATAATTCTAAAAATTACTTTTTTTTATTATTTAACGTAATAGATTCATCAAAATTGATTTTCTAACTTATATTCCGTGTAATTAGATAAATATAAGTTTATTTGATTGTTTAAAGAATGAAGATTTGAATGAAGGATTACGTCTATTTTCATATTTACAATAAAAAAAAAAACTATATATTATTCTAGATCTCCAAAAATCTTGCAGCGGTTTAGAATTTGTGAATCAAAAGTTATTTAAATATAAAGTTATTTAAATAAAAAGATGTTATAAATATAATTAAAAAATGATGACAAAAGTCTCAATTCTTTTATATAAGTATTTTATATGAGTATTTAAGATTATTTACGTAAAGTTTTATTGTGATGCAAAAACTAGTTGTCTTGTAAATAAAGTTTAATTTTACTTATTATCATCATTCATTTTGTTTTTATAATCAAAATTTAATTTTTATTTATGGAACAACCAATTTCTGCCGCTATACTTTTCGTATTACTTTTAAATACGATTTACATAGAATAATCTGTAAGTTTTTCATAATTTTTTCATTGCAGATATAAAAATTATAAAAATGAGTGTAATATGTCCATCCTTCATCAATCTATCGAAGTGATTTGTCGAGAAGAGACAATGGAAAAGGCAAAGATCTGGTACTTATTAATAACGAATGCGCGGAACATATGGGGTGGAAGGTAAGGTGGAAGGAGAAGAAAAGCGAAAATACTGTGAACAAAGACTTGCCTTCAAAGAACGTCACTCTTTTTCAACCGGAACGGGAAACATAGTCTTGCAGATGAAAGCGGGTGCGTCATCGACTCCAATCCGATCTGCGGATCTTTTAATTTTCGATTTTATATACCGCGCGCGAACCCGGAAGTGGGTTCTGACAAGCACAAGACGGTCGGCGACACTACCGTACGACCGTCCGTATCGCACGCTCCGTTTCGAAGTAAACCTAAGGCAGGTCCGAGGACGCGACGCACCGATATTTGCCACCGATCGACGAGAGGGAAGAAGCCCCGCTCGCTCAGCCCGTTCACCGGCAGGACTCGCTCGAAACTGCCGGTATCACAAGAGCACCGATTGCCTGTGGCGCTACCTGCACGGAAATACAATCCCTTTACCTCTCCCACTCTCTTAATTCGTCCGTTTCTTCCCTTTAACGATTGTATTATTGATAACATAATCGCGATATTAATAGTAACGAATGGCAATAATATTGTCATTCTTGTTTTCATTCGACCGCGAGCTTCCTTCAGCCTCAATTTGCAGCCTATTTTGACGAAGCGGATAAGAACCCAGCGTGGTTGCGCTGGAATTGGGGAAGAAAAAGGAAAAAAAAAATAAGAAAGCAAGAGCTCGCTTCCAAACGGGATAATGAGGAGCGCCTGTACTACAATATGTACTAAATCCGAAGGTAGTAAAAAGTGCTGGTAACGCTATTTTCAGTAAAATTATCGCGTATCGCGCGACTCCGCGCGAAGAAGTCGGGCAAGTGTGAGAAGAACCTGTGGGGAGAAACAGGTTCTAGATTCATTCACATCTTCTCTCGCCGAGGCCTTGAGCCGAGCAAAAAGCGTTCTCTCTATGCGATTCCTACACCATAGACTCATCTTGTAATCCGCCTTGGCTACTGGCGAGCCAAGAGAACGAACGCTGCGCGCGGGGTGTCTGGTGAATACGGCGGTAGACAATCGGAAAAATCTGATTTCTCTCAGTTACAGAAAAAGGCTTCGCCGGCTGCACCGGCGGCGAATCGAACACCCGGTACGTTCGCATTGTCCAGAAGCGCTAATCTAAAACGTGGGCTGGACGCGGGCAGAGTTCGAAACAGTTCGGCGTTTAAGGAACACCTCAATCTGGCCCACGTCTTTCTCGGTAATCTCACATGTGATCAGGAAGGCAATAAAAATTTAATATCAGAAGCACGGATACACTGTGTACCTTAATGTTACATACAATATAGAGCGTTGATTTATGAGCCGATCAAAAAAGTGCTGATCTCTTATAGAAACAGATTTTTTTTTTATATCTTACAGAATAGAATATATTTTTATTAGAATATCATAATTCCATATTATTATTTATTTTTATTTATTTATATTATTATTTATATTTATATTATTTTATCTATCTTTATTATTATTATTATACTCCATGTTGTTATTTGGAATATTATATTAAAATAATTATATTCTTATAGATTATATATAAAATTTTATAGAATCTTATTTATAGATCTCTTACAGAACGGTAAGTAGATTTGAAAGAGTAGATTTGAAACTCCCCTAGAAGGTATGTGTCCGTTCAAAAGTACCGACAGTAACATGAAAATCGATTATTGCTTTTGTTTGTCACATATTGACGCCGGATTTCCTCACCGGAAAAGCGTATGCGTACTGGATCCTACGAGCGATTCTCTCGAATAAGATTAACAATAGTATTGGGCTCGGGATACGTTGGCCGCACCGTGGGCTACCTTCTTGAATAAATTAAAATCGACGTCGAAAAGGAAAAAATCCACGCCGACGTCGTCGATGCCGACTTATTTAGCAATCCGCGAACGATAAGCAATGTAAAACCAGTATCTATAAAGCAGCCGTTCCTCCGTAATATCCAGCGGCGATCATTATGTCCCGCTGTTACGCGCGGTTGTTGTTCTCATCGACTCAATCAGAAAGCTAATTAAATGTACAGTCGCGCCGTGCAATTAAGGAAAACGAGCGACCCTCCGAGACACAAATAGTTAAAATGGACAACAATAAATTGCGGTTGATCGTTCGCAAAGCGACCTCGAGGGATGCGTAATAGCTCCATAATTAAATGCATTTTAAAATAGAAAAATGCCTTAATGATCATCTGTATCTTATCACAAGTTTGAAAGTACATATAAAGCCTGCATTTTCGATTTAACACATCTGCTGTCTATTCATTTCGTTTCTTTATTCGTTTCTTTTTTCTCGCGTTACTGATACGTTCCTCCCGAGTACAACGCGTTCAATTGCGCGTTTCAATTTTTGAACTTGGAGCTGGAAATGTTTTTATTTAAAAAATTATATATGACCACGCGATAATGAGTGATGACTCATCGATAAGTAATATTAGATATTACTCATAAATATGTAACATAAAACATAAAAATGTTCATGAGTCACCTTGTGTTTATAGATAGTATAGATAAACGCATTACAAATAATTAGAATTTCCCGATAGCACTTATTTATATTTTGCTCATTTAAACTACTTGGAAAAAGTTCTAAATTCTGATGTTATCGAGACTGAAATGATATGCGTGTGATGTATATGTGTGTGTGTGTGTGTGTGTGTGTGTGTGTGTGTGTGTGTGTGTGTGTGTGTGTGTGTGTGTGTGTGTGTGTGTGTGTGTGTGTGTGTGTGTGTGTGTGTGTGTGTGTGTGTGTGTGTGTGTGTGTGTGTGTGTGTGCCGTCGTTAAAATCGATTACCAGTCGTTTTACTTAGTTGTTTCCCGAGTGTTCGACTGAATGATTGCTTTAAGAAATAACTGTAACGGACTTTTGCTAACCCTTGACTGTGGGCCGTCCCCAACGAACTTCCATTCGTTCTCGACGATGCCCACGGTGGTAGTCATTTTACGGACCAGTGACTTCTCGAATTATTCAACCGATGATGATCTTGATGACACGACCACCGACGGATCTTATGTAAATAATCGATTAACCATCCGATGCGCGCTACACAGTTTACAATTTTATATAAAAGATTACATAGAAAAATATTTGTTTTTACATAGAATTTATGCAAAAAGTAGACCGGAAACGTAAAAATAATAAAATAATAAGTACAATAATTACAAGTTCTCCGTTTGTCTCTGTTTTATTCTTCTTATTCTACTTCCTTTGTACCTCGTCTACTTGACTAATTTAACATTTCGCTCAATGTTCCGGCGAAGTTCTTAACCGCAGGAAGTCAACGTGCATGACATGTGCTCGAGTTAATTGGGAGCCTCGTTCGAATTTGATGGCACGCGCCTTCGAGGGGCGTCTTCGGGCACCCTGGGAGCCTCATGGGGAAATAAATTCACAAACCGTGAAAATTTAATGTTCTTTATAGGGGAGAGAAACAATGTATTGTTGGTGTAATATCGTATAGCGTACTATTCAACTGCTTTTTACGCAAAGTACACATGGAGAATAGATGGCTAGACCGTAAAAAGCAGGATATTGTACAGAACGAAACTTGATGGCAGTATATGACTTTTTGATATCCCTTCCCCCCCCTCCCCCCAACTAACCATCTTGGCGCTACGTATGCGGACGTCTATGCGCCGATCTTTCGCTCTAATGGTTCCACCTGGGTTCGGGTGTACATATCCGTGGGTGGTCTCCGTCATGCGTTTGATAAGTCTCACGCCAGGTGTAGATCGAAAAAAAGAAAGGAAGTGAGGAGTCGTCTACTTCCTTGATGCTCGGTGACAATACGTCGATTGTCGAAAGTCTCTTCCTTAAGAGCTAGATCAGCCTCAACATCCTGCGACACTCTTATCTTCTTTATGCAAAGGGTATAATTTTTTTTCAACGATTGAACAGCTAGAGATCTTGTTTGAACAAGGGGACTTCAAAGGTGTAAAATATCTCCCTATTTAAAAGGAAAGGAAGAAATTGATTGGCGGACGTTCGCGCGCAGGAGTGGGCTGAAATAACAGGAACAATCCTCTGTGCTCGCAGTAAATTTGATTGTTCGGAGGCAGAGCGGAGGCGCCTACGCTGTCCGGCCCGTGAGTTTGCCACGGGGAAACGCCACATTCTTATCGTTCGAGAAACTAGCGTGGCGCAGCATAGCGTAGTGACGGCATCGTGTGTGCGTACCGGCTAGCTGTCTCCTCTAACAATACAATAACGATAGGAGGCGTCGCTTAAGGGCAAGTCCGCCTAGCGAGTAGTTGTTCAGGCACGTACCTATTGGTGCCGGTAAAATATTGCGTTTACACGTGCCTCGTGCGAAATACTCCCTCGTAGAATCACTTCCGGGTCTCCAATATGACGTCTCCAACGTTGATCAATAAACGCGAAAACTTCGTTAAAACATTCCAATAGAAGAGATATATTCCAATTCCAATAGAGCAGATATATTTATAATATATTTTTTTTATTAATATCGTTATAAACTGCGCCATATATTTTCTAATTTATTAAATATAAAAATCAGATAAATTCTATCAACTTGTGTTGCAATTATGTGTATGTATACTTCGTATTACGAACTGTCGTGTGACATGAAGAAAATTATTTACATTTAATTATATATCTTCGATATTTAATAAATCATAAAAGACTTCAAAGAAAATACAAAAAAAAAATATTTTCATTTAACTTGTAGCCTTTTTATCCGCAATTATATACAACATGTATGAGATATAAACTGTTAAAATGTGCTATTTCCACGAATAACTGTTTACGTATAAGTATAAAAATAAAACGAGGGAATCAATCAGTATCGTGAAAAAACGAATAAATCAATTTTAATTCGAGTATTTAATTTAATAAATCCTTTTTAAACCAGCCTGTCTTCCGCGGTTGTAGCTTTCTATATTGCAGCAATGCTTTTACGCGATGTCTTTGCAGATATGAAGAAACGGGTTACATTTAACGCGCGCTGAAATTCATGATCGTCTCCTTTCCCCTAGAAGCATTTTCATTTTTACCCTCACCGCGTTATCCGCGGAATATAGCAAGAGTCATGCTAACGACGCACTTAACTCTCTTAGAAAGGGATCCATCCACGCCTCGGAATTGAGAGAAAGATGGTAGTAGGAGAAACAAGTTGCTATTCCCACGCTGTTCGAGATGCTACATGCACTTTCGCTATCCAACCTTATCGAAGCTGGTGCATTGCGAAAGGCAGGTAATAGGTTCACGACTGCAAATATTTTTGTTTGGGCGGTTCGGACTCGCGCGCTGGAATCTCTTCTTCTCGTGCGAACGTACAAATGCGATAACGGTAAAGTGATCGAGCAATTATCGCAAACGCAACGGTTTCTGATGTTATCTTGATTCATAAAAAAAGAAAATATTAGAAAATTAATTAGTCCGCTAAAATAAAAAGTTAAATTATCATTGCCACTTATTCATATCGTATACTTTGTTCGGCAGATCAAGCAGAAAATCATTCAATGTAGTTGACTACGCGGGTATCGGGCAAAATATTATTTCAAGCACTACGGAAAAGTCTTTGAGTCTTTCTTGTACTCGTATCGTTAATCATCTGGAAGGAAATCTCTTTCAACATCCTGCCTCGAGGCCACGATGAAACACGCGAATAAAAAACGATTCCGTTGGTCTTCGCGCTCAGTCTTCTCGTATAAACGTCATAATGTCACAGTCTTTCGCCACGGTGCACCTGAATATTGCGGCTCTACGCTTCCAGCACCTGTTTCCACCTTGACACCTGACGGAGCCTTCTCGCACTCGCTTCTCCGTAGGGGTTCGAAGGCACATCGCCTGTCCACGCGACGCAGTCGATGCCGGCGACCAGCGCGCCAACGGCTGTCGATGCGTTTACGCGTAACGCAAGACAAATTCCGTAATCGTGTGGTTTCAATTCGACCACTCGTTGTTCGTTTACACCATGCATTACATACGTTATATTCTAACGCTACTTTTAGCCATATGTCGAAATAAATAGATCTGCGCTCATTTTTCAACGTTTCACGTTGTAACGAAATTTCAAATATCCTGGTATATTCAATAGGAATACATAATTTGTTTCTCGATAATTTTACTTATAATTATTTAATCGCAAATGGAAATTCCTTGTATTGCCCCGGAAGATAGACAACCGCATGTACATGGCCGCACTCTTATCGATCTGCTTTCCATATCGCAGCAGTGATGGACGATATTTCAACGTAAGCGTATAAAGCGAAGCATATACAAGGTCTTTATAAAAGAGAAATAATGTTGTCTTTATTTCATAAGTTAAGATTGAAAAATTGAACACGGGTAATTATTAGAGCGAATAATACGTGAGGGACTGTTTCATGGTAAATCTAGAATTACATTTCACGGTTACATTTTTTCTTATCGAGTGGTCACTGTTAATATAGATTGCATAAATGTAAATAATCTGAGCAATAAAAAAAATTCTTCGTCCTCAATATTTGTCTTTGAATAAATCCGAGAAATTTTTATGTGGAACCTAAAATATAAAGCGATATTTTATTTTGTAACACGAATAGAACAGGACATATCTATTTTATGGATTAGAGAGAATTAATTAATTAGTGAATTAATAATAAGCGCTCACCACCAACGCATTCCGGACTTTTGCAAGGTAGTTTGGTCGGTGTGTTGGCGTAAGTTGCGTAACAATTTACGTCACATCTATAGCGTAAGACAGGATTGCCGCATCCAGAGCAGTCAGGCTGCACATTTGGAAATTACAAGTACATAATCTTTTAATATACGAAAGATATTTTTAACTCGATATAACAAGTCTACCTGTACTCCCTGAATTCCAGTTTGTTGAATGCAAAGCCACTGATTATACGCGCACCCACCTGCAGCTCCAAATCCTATCCCATACGTAATTTGCGGTACTAACGAGATTTGAGGTACTATAGGGATTGATGGTACAGTCCCAGGATATCCAGAATATCCAAAATATCCAGGATATGGAGGATATCCAGGATATGGAGGATATCCAGGAGGATATTTAGGGACTTCGGGAGGATATCCAGGGGTTCCGGGAGGATATCCAGGGGTTCCGGGAGGATATCCAGGGGTTCCGGGAGGATATCCAGGGATTCCGGGAGGAATTCCAGGTTGACAGGGAGGGAATCCAGGTTGACCACAACCGGGTGCTGTAAATTGGAAACAAATTTGTAAATCGGCGACTTTATTAGAGTATTTTTCTTATTTATTAAACTGTCTAATCTATTCAGAAAAGTTTATACATTAGATCCTATTTTGATAATTAGAGATCTTGACTCACGACAGCAGCCTCCAGTACAATTGATTCCGCTACCATTAATACACCCTGCGAAAGGATTAATGATATTGTTAATGCCAATATTTGTCGTTATATTAGTAGTCCTTAGCCCGTCATTGGCTGGACCGCAATTCCCGGACGCGCATTCCGTTTCGTATTCCGTAATGATCTGATGCCTGTGCCTGGTTCTCTTCATGCAGGAACTACATTTCTTTTCGCATTCGTGATCCAAATGATGGTCGCACTTTTTTAGGCATGTTTCCAGACAGTGGGCGGGATCTGTAGGTGTAAATTTTATCGCTTATCGCCGCTATAATCACGGGACATAATTTTCTTTTTATGCGGACAAAATTATGATATTTAAATAATAAGAAACTTACATTAGTCATATTAATAATAATAAAATAATTTAAACAATATGTGCGATATATGGATATTATCACGCGTAATTAAATGCACGACAATAAAAACTGCCGACTCGTCTAGCATACTTGAAAGTCGCACTAATGACCAACCGGTGTTGCGCAACTACGTTTGTTACGTTGTAAAAGATCCAGCAATTTTAATTTAATACCGATCTTCTAAGTCTATCTTTCTAAGTGATCGTGCAACAATTGTGGTTGCATAATATGTTTGAGCGGAGCTACTTCCGAGCGGCACGCGCGAATTCCCATGTTTATCTCGATTGTTATAGCGATTGATGATCTACCAGTTTCCGGCGGGCCGTCTCCGTGGCTCGTGTGGTGCCCGTGCCTTTTCGGCCTCATTAAACACTTCACGTATTTTTTGTAATCCGGATTCCGACATTCATCGTACACCTTCTGCTGGTCCTCGGTGATCGGCGCCTCGGTGACCCCCCCGACGACTTCGGCCTTCCCTTCGGCGTTCCCTTCGGTGTGCACCAACAGCACACACCAGCCAATAAAAAGATACACGATTAGCAAATGCGTCACTTCCATAGCGCCGAGTTCTCTCTACGGAGTAATCGGGCGGGATGAGCGACGTAACCCTTTATACCTTAAGCCGCTTGCCCGGGGCTGCGGGGTTAATGACCATTACCGACAGCGTTTGCGCTGTCAAAGTCTTAGTTGAAAATGTTTGCGCCGCACGCCCTCGTAAAGATACGTCGTCGCACGTCGGCTAATATATTAACGCGTAAATTGTTATCTGCCTCTTGGCAACGGTGCAACGTCAAATTTGCACTGCTTATCGCGAACACCGGCCGCTGCGAAGCTGTCGTCCGCTCTCTCCGCGGCCTCTCACCGAAAGGGGCGGCGTAACGAAGGCAGGGGGTGGCAAAGTGCTAAAACACACACTTTCGTGACGATAACACTGGCCGCGCCACCCGCAGACATGATATTCGTAACGCGATCGTATGTACGATCAAACCGAATGTTTAGAAATGAAGAAATTAATTAATGCCAAGAATAGAGAAATTTCCTATCTTACGGCGAGACGTTCGAAATAAATTATCATTCCACGCTTCTCTATTTTCCGCATTAAAATGTCTTAAGTTTACTACCTGCGATTTTCTTCCTCGTAAGTTATGTACCTACGGCGCTATCTCATAACTCCGTTTGTTCTGCAAACACATTTATTCAAAACGTGTCATTATCGCATCCCGCAAGTATGTACTACGTGAAATATTTTTATGCACGCCCGTCGCATAAGAAATTACGTCAGCTATCTCTAGAATATTCGCTTCGATTACGATTGATATTCTTACCACATAATGGGGGAAGAATATCAATTGGAATGTTTAAAACTTCGAATCTGTAATAATATATATATATATATATATATATATATATATATATATATATATATATATAGTAGTA